CCAGCCTTTAAAGGTCAGATTGGCCAAAAGTTTGGAAAGGCACAATACACACACGTAATGTAAGTCCTCGCATGTGTGGTTCACACGATATCTCGATATCCGTTTCAATTGTCACTGTAAAATCAATTATACTGGGAATACCTCAGAATGAGGTAATAGACAGCCCTCAACGGATTAATTCTACGGTGGGGGTATTCCCAGTGTAAGTCGCAGACGATCTAGTTCATCGTTATTATAATAACGATTAATAACAAAAAATGATATTGGCGTTATTAACGGTGAATATTGATTGCCAACACTAGATATATAGTAACCCTTTTCAAAGAGTTAAAGGTACTGAAAGGGTTAGCCCTTTCAGTACCGATTTAACCTTTTCATTATCGATTTTACTGGTAGTGCTCATGTCAGTGTGTTGTGTTTACACAAAGTCTCGAGCAATACAAATATCAAGTGAATCCATTTATGTTCTGTCACATTCGCATGGATTTTTACGAGGTATCGAGCTGTGGAGGGAACATCATACATGATCGCATTGATTTTAGAAAGAATATAAAATTCTGGGCTCCGACTATCTGATGCGTTTGCATGCCGCGTTGTTGTTGTTGTTGTTGTTGTTGCTGCTGCTGCTGGTGTTGTTGTTGTTGTTGTTGCTGCTGCTGCTGGTGTTGTTGTTGTTGTTGCTGCTGTTGTTACATTAACTGATCCGGATACGATCCCGCTTTCATACTCTTACACTACAGCGCTATATTGATTTACGTACTGGGAAGTAAAACGACTATTAACGCAAAGCTACATTAATTCGATGGGTTAGCGTCCATGCATATCCTTGGATATGTCATTTCACGTTGCTTTCCTCCTCAACTGGCACGTAGTATTGCAGGTGCATACCCTGCACAATCCGTCATGCTCCTGTTCGTAGTGGTTGGTAAAAGGTAGGAAATTTGAGTCCGGCCAGTTCGGAGCCTCGGCAGCAGAGGATTCAATTGGAGGCTACCGCGGTTACTAAAAAAGCCGGACTGAGCCAGCATTTTTTGGCCAGCTCAGCTAAGAACAAGTCTGATGGGAGGTTCCAGACCATCTATCAAAATTTGACTTGGCTGGAAGAATTGAAAAAAAAAAAGCATTCGATGAGCACTGTGATTTTTCCCGGTACGAAAGATATCACGGCCTTCTGGGTGTTTCGCATTGCTGATTAGGCAAACATTATGCTATAAAAATATGTTTTTCATATAGTGCTTTTACTCAGCACTACCAGCCCAAATCCCCTCTAGTAAAAGATTTTTGTCATGCAGTTGGAATCAGCAGTGCTAATTCAGCACCAACAATGAAGTTTAAACGATGCACAAGGTGCTCAGCAGCGTTGTGCTGACCAGCCTGTTGGTCCACCCTACCGAAGATTGCATCGTTCCCTGTCAACAATAGCGATAATGAGATGACGATGTAAAAACTGTGTTGTGCATGCCTGAAGTTTTGTAAGCATACGTGTACGAACATTTTTCCCTTTAAATAAATCGTTGCACTATTCTTTTCTGAATTGTCGATAGGTCTAGTCGATGACAACTATCCTTGCATGTGTAGATAGCTGCCATCGACCAGTACGTACCGACAAATTTACCCAATTTGCGCTGCATTAGCTTTCCGCACAGCTAACCTGGCAAAAATCCTTCCAACCACAAGCTAAGATGGGATGGACAGCCAGTCGTAGTAGCGCAACTCACACGCATCTCCATCTCAAATCACAATAGTCCTATGTAAAGGCTGGGGGTGCTCTACAACATTGACGATATCTCTGTCCATTCAACAATGATGTTTTCTATCCATCCTTGCCGCTGACCTTACCTCATATCGCTTGAATGTTATACCGTACGTGTAAGAGTTTCTTGGCATATATCACGTTCATGGAGCTGCGTCGATGAGTTGTTCTTGATATTTGCTCAAAGGCTAGACTGCATACGTTAACATTCGTCATCATTGTACGGTTTTTTGCAAGTACAACTAATCAACATACGGTTATTGGTAATACGGGTATCCAACGCAACATACGTTTACTGGCAACCCGATTTTCGAAGCGGAGCCAATTCGAAGAAGCGAATTTAAGGGTACCCAACCAAAAGCGAATTTAAACTAGACACCTAAAGCGAATTTATGAGTACCCTACTCATAAATTCACTTATGGTTATCTAGGGTATCCATAAATTCGCTTTAGGGTCACAATGAATGGAGCTTACTGAAATTGATTGGACAAAAACATTCACCTGGGAAGGGTTCGTGTTCGAGTTTCCAGCACAAGTGAATTGACCTCAAGAACCCAACACGTAAGAGCCATGGTGAAGGTGACCGAATTCAAGGTGGGCATGACGTGTGACGGCTGCTCCAGCGCCTGCACACGCATCCTGAACAAGATCGAAGGTGCGTCCTCCCTTCTCGCTAGCTCTTATAATACTGCGGTACAGGGTCGT